TCTCAAAAAAAAAAAAAAAAAGAGTAGCAAGATTGACAACAGGGCACTTGAGAGGAAAACATTACAGTTACATGATTTGGAGGTTTCTGAAAAGACATGCTTGGACAGAGACTCTAAAGGTAAAAGATCAACTGTACCAGTTATTAGCTATGAAACATTAGACCCTATATTTACACTTCTCTGAATTGGTTTCTCCTTTATAAAATGTATTTGTCAGTATCTACCTAGATGAGACTAAAATGAAATTATGTCTGAATGGGATTATAGTCTGAAGACTAAAAAGAACTATAAAAAAAATCAGTTATTTGTATTTTGAAATAATTTTATCTCATTTGACAGCTTGTTTTAAGATTACACTAGGCAATATTATTCTTAGCATATTAAATCATGTAAATGTTTTCCCACTAAAATTGGTTCCCTTATTTATGAATAAAATAAAATCATATTTGAGTGTAAGAAAAGAAAAATCCAAAACCCTCTGCTCTATCCTACAAATATTCTGTAAACAAATCATGAATCTCTGAATGTATGGTGTTCTTGTTATTATGAGTAATTACAGTAAAACTAATGATCAGAACCTGTAAGACTGCTCACATGCCCCCCCTCACCCTACCAAATGCACATACAAACAAGGCAGACGGAAGACTTGATAAATGTGGCTGGCAAGAACTTTATCTGTGGGCAGTAAAGTAAAGATGGTCAGTTATGGGAATAGGACATAACTGGGACTTGGACTTCTAGTGTTTATCCATGACCTTTACCAGCCCCAGAAGAATAGAACAGTTTGTTTAAAAAATAAAACAAAAGAGCTGGGTACACTCGCTAATGCCTATAATCCCAGTTACTCAGGAGGCTGAGATGGAAGTACTGCTTTAGCCCAGGAGTTCGAGGTTGTAGTAAGCTACTATCATGCCACTGCATTCTAGCCTGGGCACAGAGCGAGACTCATCTCTAAAACAAAACAACACAACACTGTTCAAAACAAAACAAGGGAACCATGACATCCGGTAAGAACATAGAAGCTATTTTTTTTTCCTGGCATTAAAAAGAGGCAGCAATAATCACAGCACTTTCGGAGGCCAAGGTCGGAAAACAGCTTGAGCCCAGGAATTCGAAACCAGTCTGGGCAACACAGGGAGACCCTGTCTCTACAAATAACAATAATATTAATAATAACAATTAGTTGGGCTTGGTGACATGCACCTCTGGTCCTAGCTACTTGAGATGCTGAGGCAGGAGGATTGCCTGAGCCCAGGAGGTTGAGGCTGCAGTGGGCGGTGATTGCACCACTGCTGCACTCCAGCTTGGGTGACAGAGTGAAACCCTGTCTCAAAAAAAAAGAGGTGCAAAGCCACTAGCCACATCCCAAGGGGGAACTCAGGCATCTATCTGGCAACTGATAGAATTTTAAAGTTACTACCTGTAACCACAGTCAACTAAATATTTCAAAACACTGTGAAAACATTAATTAAACCTCTCAAATCAGGAAAGAATTAGGCCTATTTCAGACAAGAAAAATGAGGTAGCTAGTAGGAGGCTGTTAACAGGAATCAGAAAGGAAACTAACTAGACTCTAGTATCTTTGGCTTTCTCAATGTTGTCCTCAGGCTACACTTAATGAAATGCACCCAAGCAGCAGCATCCTCAATAATGGGGCTATGTTGACAAGCCAAAGCTTTCTAACACAGAGGCTGAGTGGAAAGAATATTGGCCTTGGTTGGAATTAAAACCCCTGTTCTAAGCCTGGTTCCACCACTTACTAGTTACATGACCCTGAACAAGTCATTCAATTTCTTTAAATTTTAGTTTCCTCAGCGTCCCCTCCCTCCTTCCCTCCCTCCCCTTCCCCCCCAAAAAAATTAGTTTCCTCATTTGTAAAACTGTATCAAACCTAACTCACAAAGTTGTGAGGATCAAATTAAATTATATATGCCTGGCACACAGGTATTGAGAGGCCAGCTTTCTTCCCCCAAACTCCACCTTAAGTCCATAGATGATTCATATAAAAAAACCATAGTTTATACATATGACTATATATATATGATTATCATTCTTTTCCAAATAGTTGAGAGTTGTCACCAAGTTTGAAAATTATTTTCTGTACATTTTTATTGATATATTCAAGGACAGAAACTGACTTTAGAAAAATAAAAAACAAAAGGGGAGCTTCTCCAGAAAGATGATCAATGATGCCACATTTCTTAGAACTCAAGGAAACTCACATCTCAGAAAGGTGTTAATGTACTATTCCAAAATTAACTCCGCAGTGTTCTCTCTCTCTCTCTCTCTCTCTCTCTCTCTCTCTCTCTCTCTTTTTGAGACAGAATCTGTCACCCAGGCTGGAGTACAGTGGCCTGATCTCAGCTCACTGCAACCTCTGCCTCCCGGATTCAAGTGATTCTCCTGCTTCAGCCTCCTGGGTAACTGGGACTACAGGTGTGCACCACCACGCCTGGCTAGTTTTTATATTTTAAGTAGAGATGGGATTTCACAATTTTGGCCAAGCTGATCTCAAACTCCTGACCTCAGGTAATCTGCCCCCCTTGGCCTCCCAGAGTGCTAGGACTACAGGCATGAACCACCACACCTGGTCCATGCTCTCTTAATATTCGTTTGGTTAAGAAAATAGATCAACAGTATTTGTAAAACTTTAATATCATATAAATTAACTTCAGAGAACCGGTAAGATCACCAGACATAAACAGTTCCATGAACCTAAAAGGTCTTTCCTGATACTTATTAACTGAAAGGGAAAGTGAGCCACCATAAACACCACTCCTTTGACCACAACACTTCAAAGTAATTTAGAAACTCCATCTCAGTGAGGTTAAGTAACACACCCATTTCTAAACAAGTCTGTCAGAATTAGAAACAGAAGTTAACTCTTCTTACTCTTCTAGACACTCCGAGATACCTCCTTTTGAAAGGAGACAACAAGCAGCACCATGGAGATCTCAAAACAACCCTGATATATAAGCTACAATTAAAAGTCCTTAACTCCTTTGAAGCTAAAGATCACACAACTTTTTAACTAGCATTAAATTTATACGCTGCAAGGAGTCCCTAACATCTTTTTGTCGCCAAAACATGACACATAAGAATAAAATTATCTGCCCAAGGTCACAGAGCAAATAATGACTGTCTGGACTCCCAATTACTTAAATGAGCCCCTCTTCCTGCGTGCAACCATTCATGGGATAACATTGACAGTAACAATCAATCAGACTTCTAAAGGCAGAGGGGCGAGGAGGATCTCTACTGAATCCTTCAGATAGTTAAATCTGGTGTATTATGTCTCTGCAGATATTGCATATTTTAATTCACTGCCCTTTAAAATTCAGCATACATGGTGCATTAAAAAGACTGTCATCAAGAACTCAAGATCAAAGGGGTTCGGAAACACAATTTCTCCTACCATACCAATCTCTGGGCATTCTTCTTCTCAGTGCCCCATTGAGTCTCTGGACAAAGAACATGTCTGTCCATCCCTCCCCTTACCCAAGGCAGAGTGCCTCCCAATAGCGTAGCACAGGGCACACAGTGCTCAGAGTACCCCAGAGCCTATTCGCCTGTCACCTCCATCCCAACTTTCACCAGTGGTTGTCAGGAAGAACACGCCTTCTTCTGCAATGCTGCTAAGTCTGCCCCTAGCAAAGTAGACACACCCCTCCGACGCTGCCCCCCTCAGAATATTCTCATTCCCTCCTTTGCCAAATATCCCTTCCCCGCTTTCATAAGAGATACTCCCTGCCTTGGCCAGGAACGGTGGCTCACGCCTGTAATCCCAGCACTTTGGGAGGCCGAGGCAAGCGAATCACCTGAGGTCAGGAGTTCGAGACGAGCCTGACTAACATGGTGAAACCCCGCCGCTACTAAAAATACAAAAATTAGCCGGGCATAGTGGCTGGCACCTGTAATCCCAGCTACTCGGGAAGCTGAGGCAGAAGAATCGCTTGAACCTGGGAGCGGAGGTTGCAGTGAGCCGAGATCGCGCCACTGCACTCCAGCCTGGGCAAGTCTCT